CAATGTGTTAATCCAGGGTGTCAGCTAACTCCATACCAAATTTTATTAAAATTGCTCTAGCCGTTTAGACGTGTAGAAGAAGTAACAAACATACACACTCACCTTCACCTTTATAATATTATATTAGTAAAAAAATTACATAGTGAAGTAAGGAGATTTAATACATACAACAGTAATTAAGAGTATCATCATAAATATCATTAGTGACAAGACCGGCCAGTGAATAAGTGATTAGAAACCATAATTAGCGATCCTTACGAATGAGGAGGTCATTAACAAATGAACTGGCGACTGAAACAAATGATAAACGAATTAGGAAGTTATTAACAAATCAACTGAAACGAAATAAGAGAAATATCTATCTCGGGAACGGTAAGAGATATGAACCTGGGACCCAGCGCAATCGCTCCAAATGGGGGGCTTTCCTTTTTTTTTTTTTTTTTTTTAGGTTTCGACAACCCCATTGTACAAAATTCTGGACCGAGGCAGACCAGAGGGTGGCCTCCGGTGGTCCAGAATCGGTGAATACCCACTACTCACTGCTCGATGTTTAAATTAAAAGTTCTTATCCAAAAAATATATATTTGGTTTTTCCATATACGTATATTGTTTGCAACCAAATTTACATCAGATAATAAAACAAAATGGTACAATTCACCATTATTAATTGACACTCCTTTTAAAGATTAATTTACATCTGACATTTTCAAAAACGATTTTGAAATATATCGTTTGCGTAAATTTTATATCCATGTTAGATTTGTGACGCACGTGACGCATAACTTTTTCGTTGCTATTGCTGCGTGGGAACTAATAACCAAGGCAATCAGTATATAATACGATTCAAGTAAGAATAGGAAAGCCAATGACCTCTATCTATCAAATGTCGCTTGAAAAGTACGGTTTGCAAAAAAAAAACTTGGAACCCTTTTTTAGCACTCCGCTAATTGAAGAATAAAAACCAATCATTTGTAAACAAACAATAACAAATATTGATAATGAATATCGGTTAATATTTTTTTTGCTTATTGAGCTTTGGCCATGAATGGTTGATAACCTAAATCGCCAACCAAATGTCACTTTAAGTTGCGTTCTTCTCGAGTTTCTAGTCGATTTCAAACTTTCGTCTACATAAAGGATGCATGTTCGTATGTGATTGAGTGTATGATTATTCATAACTACTCCGGCGGTAAGGCAGAGATGAGCAGAATAGAAGAGCTACATTCTGATTAATGTTTTTTCTCACAGTCTTAATAAATAAATATTATTAAAAATCGGTGATTTTTTTTCTCAATTTTAGTAAATAAATGTTATTAAAAAAATCTTGATGCTTTATCTCACTTAATCTTAGTAAATAAGTTTTATTTAAGTGAAACCTTTTATTTTGCTCACTCTACCTATTTGGTTTGAATTGACAGCTATGACGTCACAATATGGCGCCCAGTCGGTCCTATTCTTAGTTGAATCGCATTATAAAATGATTTTTGAAGTGAAACTGCGAAGCTGGCGAATGCGTTAGCGTTACGAAAAGTGTATTCGGGCACATCTCTATATGTATTTTTCCCGAATTCGCTGGTAAACGGTAGTATTATATTTAAATGTATGTATTAACATAGTATATTGTGGTGATATGTCTTGTCACCTATAAAAAACCTCTAAGCTTGTCACATATCAAGTTGGTAAATGCTAAAAAATTGCAAGAGTGTTTAATTATGAATAATAACGCGATCTAAATTCATGTCTTTTTATTTAAACAACTAAAATTGAGTGAATCAACAACGTTAAGGTTTTTATTAGAAGATTTATAGAACCTTTAGGTATATTTCGATATTTCAGTTCCTAGAAATAATCGAAAGGATTTTGTACTGCCCCCCCCCCCCCCCCCCCCTGTAAGACAAGACTCGGAGTCACTCTCCTCTTTATAGAATGTTTTCAACTTATAATACTATTCGAACTGATTTCGTCATATTTAAAGGTTCTAAAGCCTCAACGAGAAAATGTTTCAAATCAATATTCTTTGATAAAGTTTTATTAGTTTTTAGTTGTAACTTTAACTTTTTTAAGTATTGAGTTTAACCTATATGTACTATAAATAAATTAATCAAAATAAATAATAATAAATTATTAATAATTAATAAAAAAACCTTTTTTTTTTTTTAATTAATATTTATTAATCCTTAGTCGTTAGGTAGTACTAGAAATGCATGTTGTGCTTGCATCTAGTAGGTTTCAAAGTAGTTGACGTTTTCTTTGTATGCATATATTTACTAAAAATATCCATACTTTGTATGTCGATTACACGTCAAACAAGCCAACTAGCAAAGCAAAGAGAGCTTGCATAAATTATTAAACCAAAACCGTCAATAACACGACGCGTAACATCTTAAATGAAACATGAATGTTAAAATATATTAGTCATACGAGGCAAAGAATCCTTTAATTTTAAAACAAAATCACGCCCGTGCACACGGAATTAAAAACGAGACCTAAATCTTCATCCTCATCGCGAGTCTATCGGACGGCCTTAAGAAAGGACATTTCAGATCAATGCTGTTTTGTCACAGTACGCACAATAAAATCGGACTTGGTCGTTTTTGTCCAGTTAGTAGTACGTTGGGTCATTAGAGAATCCTTCTTATAGTTTTTACCCATAACATACATTAATAAAACCCTTTTCGACGGGTATGCAGCGCGTGCGCGTTTAATATAATATTTTGTTATTAAAATTTTTTAATCATTTTCTGACTCCGTGATCACAAGATTGCGATGAAAATACACTATTGACGTCAGAAATTGAATTCTATGTCTCTTTTTATACCCATCAAAATGTTTTATAAAATATTAATTAAAAATAAACAATTTTTTTGTTATTTATTTGGCACATAAAACATGTTAAAAAAAAGAAGTTTGGTCTAGCTAGACTACAATCCAATAATATGTGTACACGGCATGCTATGCAGACGTAATATCAAAATTAAAAAAATCACAAAATTATTTTCTAACAAAGGCACAAAGCAAGTTCTAGATTTGAGACATCAAATGATGCTTTATCTTGCTGTATCGATAGGAATCATGAATCTTAAAAATAATAAGCACGTAACATACTTAATTAAAGCTGAGGCGGAAATAGTATATAATATTAGATCTTGGTTTTAAAAGATAAAAAGTTAGATCCAAATATGTCTATCTCATGTTAAGATGCCGAATCATCGAAAAATCGACACGTTCTAGAGGAGATAGGATTGTAGTATGAGGTTTTAGTTCTCTGTACTGGAATCGCAAATATTCTAGGATTCTGCAGTGTATTGAGGGTACTAAAGTTATTCCTAGCAAGAAGACAAGACGAATCCATCGCCGAGTGTATCAACTAGAGCAGGCAAAGCAAATCGTATTGTCTATGACGATCTTTAAGGGTTTGGATTCTGAAATATTCTTGCATTTTTTATAAAAAGTTAGGCATCGATTCAAACTATGCCGAACAATACCCTCAAGTACCCTTTCTGCACGGTTTCTACATTTGTAACGTGCACAAAATCATGATTAGATCATATTACGCAGCAATAATCAAAGATAGAACGAGACTGCAACAGAGCGTCCTTATACTTTGTACATTTTTGAACTTTTAGTTGACCTAAGAACTTGTGAACTTGCTTGTTGCTTTTTTTAACGATAAATAACGTTCCCGAAAAGTGAGTTTATCATCAAAATAAACTACAAAATCCTTCGCCACAAAACTACGCTCCAGGGGTTTATTATTTAACGTACAGTTATACCTAACGGGTGTTCGTTGTTGTGTAAAGGTAAGTTCGGAAACACTCGGAAATATTAAGAACCATTAGGTACTTGTCACACCATTCGAATTATCGAAGAACAACTAACATATTATAATTTTTCTTTTTTAAGCATGTGCACTGACCAATTATCCTACCGCGGAAGCATAATTGGTCAATGCATTCGCCCGGATAGCGAAGGGTGCGGGTTCGAGTCCCGTCTGCTGCCTGGTCTGCGTGGAAGTTTTTCTAGTTATATTTTCTTTAGATATAAACATCAAGCAGTAAAATGCTTAAAATATAAAAAAATATAACTAGAATTGCTATTTCTTCTTTCAAATGTTTAATACTTGTAAAAGTATTCATTTGACATAGTGGGTTACCTACAATGCGAAGAGATGGCGCTGCCTTTTAGCTTAAGAATGGCTGGAAGAATTTCAACGCGATCATCAGGGCGCGGTAGCATAATTAGTCAGTGCATTCGCCCGGATAGCGAAGGGTACAGGTTCGAGTCCCGTCTGCTGCCTGGTCCACGTGGAATTTTTTCTAGTTATATTAACTAACATATAACTTGATTTTCCAACGATAACCCCTACTCATTTTCTCTGTTAAAGGCCTTATCGTCGATACAGTAATGATACAGACAATATAATGATGTTGCAAGCAACTAAAAATACTTTGGTACCTACTAAATGCTATCAACATTATTGCTATGAACCGGATATTGAACCTGAGCAAAAGGGCAAAAGTTGTATAGCCCCTTAATCATGGAAGTTATTGGACTAATAAACATCCCTATTGAGTTCTTATTTATTTTATATTTATTATAGTAAAATTGTAATGTTTTATATTCTCATACAAAGTTATGACTTTAAAGTTGGTCATCTAACTTGTATTACCATGTAAATCTGAACGCTTTGCTATAGTTTTATCACAATATGATATTAAATAATAAAAGCCAAAAGGGCAATCATATTGTTAATAATAGAAGTAAATTTATTTATATTACTAGAATGAATCAAATTAATTATATTCCTGAGCGATATTTTTTCACTGAATTCACTTATTGAAAATTCGTGCCGCCTAAGTCTTTAACCATCAATAATAACTGATGGCTATGCTATGCCATCGTGAGTAATCGTGAAAATAAATCACACTATTAAAACACAACAATTAACTGGTAACTTTATCGCGACGCACGCTTCTTAAAGTAATTCACCACGAGCCAAGGTCACATCGTATGGTGGCATTTAAAGAAGATTGGCCATTTGTAACATTGTCGGAATTCACGTGTTGCTGTCGAGACGATATTACTGTGTGATTACGATAATTTACTCTCAGTTAATGTTTATGCGTCGGCTGTAGAACACCTTGTTCAAAGTATTACCCTATTTTGATAAAAATATCGAGTGCAGATATCTATGATTAAAAAAGTGTACACAATCACTTTTGTTTGTTTTCTACGAAGGAATTGTTATTTAGGCTGTGAAGTTTTTTTTTTAACTTTCTGTTTGTGCTCCGAAAACTATTGAAAATAACACGTGAGTATTTTTTTTTTTTTAATTTCTTTTATCCTGCCTGAATTAAGATTTGAATTTTCATTTAAAAATGAATCGATTCTTTGTTTTATATTCTTACCGAGACCTTTGAATTAATAACCTATATACATAGTAGAAGAAAATATCTTTTGTTATTATTAATAATAATAAATCTTAATTGATTTTTAACTGTCTTAAAATATATTTCTGTTTCTGTTTTAAAGTTGTGATCTACATGGAAAAAAACTCTTAACTAATTTGTTGTATGTACCTATACCTTTCGATGTTGATCAATTAATTATTTTTCTACTTTTCGCGATTTTTTTTATACAACCTTTTTTATGGAAACCTAGAAGTAGGTAAGAAAAAATCCTATTTTGACAAGCTGCCTCGACCTTGAGTCTCAAAGAAGTGAAAAATAACCCCATTAAAACATTACTTTTGGCTTCGTTACTGCTCAACAAATAAACCGCCCCTTGCTAACTCGGAACTCTGATTTGATTTCCTAAAAAAGTTTTAAACGTCAAGGTTATACCTGCAGAACATGCGTTTGGAATTTATTAAGATTAATTAATTAAATGAAACACACTTAAACGGCTTCAAAATAAAAAAAACACATTATTAAAAAAAGAAATAAAGACTATTAAATAAATTCGTACATAGACAACAACATTTTAATAATCTTTCAATGAAGAATCCGAACATTCAATAAAATTATTTCAAAGGTGGCTCGTCATAATATGTATAATAATAATTCTGACCGTCGGTCGCCAAAAAAGTAATAAATAGACGCATTTTGAACCAGTTTAAACGTGTTTCATTTAATGATCGGTTTGCATGAAAACTTAAAAAACATATATATTTATTAATTTATTAAGTTTTAATTAAGAATTTTTAAAATCGTATCGTTTTTTTCAAAATCGTAGCAAAACTTCAAGCGTCTGGGAAAACGATGGACAGAAAGCAATGAAATGATAAGTAGTAACAGACACAGACTCCTCTTTCCCAGTGGGCAATTTGGACATGTGCCCAGGGCCCCGCGATTGATTGGGGCCTCCCTCAGATCAAATACAAAGTCCCTAGTTTCTGCCACTACACGATAACCAATATTTATTACCAAAAAACTTATATAATTCGATGAAATCAAACCTAAATTACTGACTACAATACCAACTTACTAGCTTTTACATAAGCAAAGCTATTCTACTCTCGCCCAAAAATTTGGCTTTCCGACTTCAGCGTGTCTAGTTAAATTTAAATATACATATAATGGTATACTAAGCACATACACATTTTAAAGAAAAATCATCAGTAGTTCACTCATCAGTATGACTCGCTCCATTTCAAGTCATAATCCACATAAAAGTCATAGGGGCCCCATTATCCTAATATGCCCAGGGCCTCCAATAGGTTAAAGACGGCCCTGAAGGGACAGAGATCTTTATTGAAAATAGCAAACGGTTGACAGTACTTTAGAATAAATTATAACTCATGTTAATCATTCTGAAACACTTTTTGTTGATATAGCTTTGATAGTTTAAGTTTTATATATTTTGAGAAAATCGAAGCACACTATAATATTATAAAGACGAAAGTTTGTGAGTGTATATGTTTGTTAATTCTTCACGTCTAAGCGGCTGGAGCGATTTTAATAAAATTTGGTGAAGAGTTAGCTGACACCCTGACACACATAGGCTATGTTTTACTGCGGGAAAATATCCCTAATGAACCGCGGGTAACATAGCTAGTTAGATATTATGTTTTTTATGCATGTAACTGCTAGATGTTTAAATCTAAAGAACATTTTACTAGGAAAAATTCCACGCGGACCAGGCTGCAGACGCGTCTAGAGATGGGCATTCTTAGATATTTGTGAAATCGATGCGCATCGGTTTTTTTTTTATAGATAGGTCCGACAAATGACTCCACCCCACCTGATGTTAAGTGAAGGCGAAGTCCAGACCCGAAGACAGCTGATACAGCAGTTCTACCTGCCACACCAGCCGCCCTCACCCTGCCGGCCTGCATGTTGCTTCTTCACGCCTCTTTTAAAGGATCCCAGGTTGTAAGAGGGAGGGAACACGTGAGCGGCTAAGCCATCCCAGAGGTGCGAGCAATATTCCACGCAGGACCGCACTTGCGTTTTGTACAACAAGCACAGTTGATCGGGCGTGAAAAAACGCCGCACCTTGTTCAGGACTCCGAGTTTGCGTGAAGCTGTTTAAATAAATCGCATCGGATGCGAGCATCGATGCCAAGTGAATGTCAGTATCGTAGTATCACAGGATACGATGCGATATCAATTACGACAGATGCGTTCTTCGATTCCATAAATCATAATTTGAAAATGCAATCGAATCCATTTATTTACTTTTCTATACGGTAACTGAAAATATGGAATGCTGGCAAAATTATTACATAAAAAAATTGCATTCAGAGCGTAGGTTTTGAACGCAGTCCAGTGCCACAAACTTTTCTGTGTCGGTGGCAAAAATTTGAACTACAATTTATTCATAGCATTTTGAATATTTTATGAGATATTTTTTCACCGCTAGCGACATCTCCACCGGCACAACGTTACTATAGCAACAGAGCCACAACAGGCAAGTTTGTGGCACTGTTGCTATAGTAACGTTGACAAAAACTAGATGGAATCGGCATTCAATAACATCCAGTCGCATCGGATGCGCGCATCCAAACCTGGCATCGTTATCACTCATTGTTATAAAACGCGCACCCCTATTCGCGTCCTTTCTGCCCCCTGGTCCACGTAGAATTGTGTCCAGTAAATTTTTTCTTTAAATCATATTAGAGTTCCGCCGCGGGCGGCGTCTGTCTGTGAGACACTTAAATATATTTCGTCAATGGCTGTATATCATGCAAGATTGTTAAACCTATTCCCTTACACTCTTACCCCATCCTTTGAACCTTTTATTTATTTTCTGTTTCGTTTCCTTTCCTCTCTTCTTCTTTCGCCTCTCACTATTATTAAACCGTCCTCTCCTCTCCCTGTCTTTCCCACCCATTCGACCTCCCTGGCTGCATCTCGACGCGGCCTCGGATTCTGATGGGGCTACTCTACCAACTATCGAATCCTCTACATCACAATTATGTTATATTCATCAACTTAAAATGCAATAAATAAATTAAGTGTTTAAAAAAACATATTTTAGTTATTTGCGGTTGAGTGTAGATTAACAAACATTAATATAATGAAATTATTTGAGTATTTATAACATCATTATAAGATTCTTTTTTTATCGGCGTTTTGTATCGGCGCATTAAGTGACCGGTGCGGGCCACAAGAAGCGAGCAACGACGATTTGTAGCGTGTGGCGGCCACCGGCGCGGCGTACCGTGTGTAGCGAGTCCATATAAAATGTATGAAAACTACAAGAAATATGCCGGTGGCGACGTTTTGTGGTTGTGGTCGGTGGCCCGTGTGCGGCGACACTTAACTAGTTGTGTTTACGGACCCTGTTATACATTACATCAGAGTTTGCGTTTACAAAACCATTCCAAGAATCAGCCTTTTAATGGCCCCACTTCTGGTATATGTAGAAAGATTGGACCGTGGGTGGCCATCGTGCTCCGTGCAATTTGGTGGGTGCTAACGACTACAGATGCAGCCGGGGTCAACAGCTTAGGTACCGTACCTTCGAAACACGGAGGAGCGCGTGACAATATCCACCCATAGGTCACCCATCCAAGGAAGTTGTTTAACTTCCACGACCTCAGACCGAACGCACCAACCACCTACCCTATCCTTTAAGTAACACTAACTTAGGGATAGTGTCTAACCTCCTTTGACGACCTCCGTGGTCGAGTGGTTTGTACGCCGGGTTTCATGGTGTCGCCGACTCGTGTTCAGCCGACATCACACAAATCCCTCGCTTCGCTCGTGATTTAAGTTTTTAACACCCTCGCTACGCTCGGGAGTAAACCTCGATCCTTCGTTACGCTCGCGATTTAAATCGTCACCCGCGACAGAAGACACTGCTTTATCCCCTTGGTTAATAATCTACCTCTATGATTATGCCTCTATGATTTTCTTCTTTGTAAATGCTTATTAATCTCCACACTAGACGTCGTTATTGGTGATAAAATTTTGTTTTCTTTTAGCCTTTTTCTAGGGCTTCTAGTTTTTTTGAAACACAAGCTATCGAAAAAAGAACACATAGGAGCATAGAATGAGTAAAATCATATTTTATGTATGAAAATCAGGGAGAAATCATTCGAGAAGTTTGTATGGAAAAGGCATTGCCCCCGCAACCTATGTAGGGTTTATAATCATATTTTTATTGCATGCCAGATAATATATAGATAGTACAGATACAAATTTTAACATAAGCATATTGACCTACATATAATAATAATAAATATTTCCAACACTCACACCAATTAGCCTAGCCCCAAAGTAAGCACTGTAAAGCTTGTGTTATGGGATACTAGGGTAATGAGTAGAATACATATACAGTACATATATAAGTATATTTATATATATATATGACCTGCCAGAGCATAACAAATTTTATCTTCGCTTTAATCATCAAATTTTTTTTCTTTCAAATAAAGTTACGTAAAAAAGGTTCCGTCCCAAATACAGAATTTTCAAAATGTCTGCTTTATAATTATCGTCGTATGAGGACAAAATATCTCATACGCACAACCGTAAACCCGCTTACGTCCAGCCGTCAACTCTGTTACGACCAGCCGTCAACCCGCTTACGTCTAGCCACCCGCCCACGCATACATATCAACGCGGTTACAAATTCCCAAAATACAAAATATTGGCGGATAAAGGACCTTATTAAACATGAATTTGGGAATCACACCTATTTTTATTATTATTTATAAATCGATATAATAATCATATTGTTAGCAAATCTTATTTAGTCCATCAGTTTGTTAGATTTATTGATAAATAATGGACACCTATATTTTCTTTTGTGAAACAACCAAAAAATTGAAAACTATACAATGCGTCAAAGTTGGGTAGTAGG